AATCAATCAGTTCTTTGTTTTTGTTTCCTTCTGTTTATTCTGTCATATACTGCAATCTGAAACAAACCCAAAGGTCATCATTGTCCTATCGCGCTAGTAAAGAGAATTAGATTTCACGAGTGACCAATACAGAATTTCTACTATGTCCAATGGAGGATGAGGCCATGAGAGAGCAATTTTATATATAATGTTTTTCTAAGAATGATGCTTCCCCATTGCACAGCCTTCATAGGAGGCCAGGCATGTGGGACGGGGATTCAAATCCCCACTGGCTCCACCAAGCCACAGGCCTGTCAGCACTGAACCTACATTTTGGTGCGGAGAACTTTTTGCTTGTAATTAGTATGAGCATTTTTTTGTTTTAAAGAAAATCCTGAGAAAAAACATGGTATCAAATTAGCTAACTAATACTGAATGCTTGGTATGGCTTATAGCGGCTCTTGCTTGTTTAATTAATGTTTTCTATGTAACTTTTGTAATAGGTATATTGTTATTTTTGTGTATCCTTAAGTAGTGGGTTCTAGATGTCTGATTTAGTAAATTACTCCCTCCATAATCTTTTGTAGGCGCCGATAGATCTCACGTTTTTGACGTTTTATAAGTCGTCGAGTAGGTACCGTGGAGTCTAATCAGTGTCCAACCAAAATCTTTGGCAATTACTCAGCGATCTAAAATCAAAGCGTTCCTTTGCATGCAACCCGGGTCCCGGACGTGAATTGTTTCTGCTGATGTACTGCATGCATGCATGGATACATGCGGAACTAATCTGTGGCAACAACGTGGCCATGCGAGTAGCGTACGGCACATCATTTACCTGCCACCTCCCTCTCCTAGAGTTCCTTGGTATCTGTAAGATGCCTCCGTGCGCCGTAGAAAAGATTATGGAGGGAGTATTCCATAGCTGCATTTATGCTTTGGATCATGCGATGGCGATGACAAGAGTTGATGAGCGTCTTCTAGTGCCTTATTTTGCATTCAGCTTCAGTACTCAGAACATAAGGTATTGGATTAATGTTAAGTGGTAGATATATTTAATTCTAACTATGGGATGTTTGCACTTAAGGCATTGCAAAATTCTTCAATGATGACATGTGGGGCCACTCCTACTCCAGGAGGAAACATGCCAGGGACGCACGCAGATAACCGCCATAGTGCGCGATCACCGCATGAGTAGGAGTGGCCCCACATGACAAATGATCTAGGATTTATTACACATAAAAATAATGACATCTTGGACTTTGTGTAAGGTTAACTCCATGTCTAGTCTGGAATCTTTGATTTTGTCCTTACTTTTATTTAAAATGTAGAGAGTCGTTTTCCAGTTCTTCTCTATATTTTAATGCAAGTGGTCTTTGGTAGTTTATTTTTGGTTCTGGTGCCTACTTGCCATTAAAATTATTTCTTAGGCCTTCTCCCTTTTGTTGCTAGTGCTTCCAGATATCTAGAATGGAAGTAATTTTAGACAAAGTGGAATCAGATTTTACAGATTCTTGATAGTTGATACTAAACTGTTAAACATTTATCAGCTGCAGGTCCATGAAACTTTGTTCTCGTGTTATTTGAAAATTCTTCGTTGATGTTACTTATTCAAGAGGAATACATTACTTATTTGCAATCTGATTTTGGTATTCAAATTTTTGAGTGACGGTCATGTTTAGGAAGTTGAGTATGTCTGTCAGGTACCCGTTTACCATGTCTACCATAGGGAAACAATCATTTGTAATTTGAACAAATCCTGTTAGTAGGCAGTGCTTTGCTTGTTTGACACATTATTTCCCCCTATTCAGTTGCAATTTTGGAGCCTTTTTTGGCATTTTTAGTTTTTCTGCTTAATGCTTATAAGAGAAAGGTGCTTCATTTCTTAGGTCTTGGCTAAGTTTGAACATGTCGTGCTTGGCATGCTGTGGAGGCGAAGATACTCAAAGAACACCTGATAATGGAGGTCCATACCCTGGTGGCTACCCAGCAAGTAATGTTCCTCTAAATTATATATGTAGCTTAGCATTTCCTAAAACTATTATCCATATTCATATTATCAGCCTCATAACCAAACTATCATCACAGTAGATGACTGTAAAATTTACCTGAATTATTATCAACCTTCAGGGGATGATGCTTATCGCACTGCTGATCCAACTCCCAGGGGTGCTCAACCTGTGAAAGTGCAGCCAATCGCTGTCCCCACTATTCCAGTAGAAGAAATTAGGGAGGTCACAAAGGCTTTTGGCGATGAAGCTTTGATTGGTGAGGGGTCTTTTGGCAGAGTATATTTTGGTGTACTAGAAAATGGTAGGAGTGCTGCGATCAAAAAGTTAGATTCAAGCAAGCAGCCAGAGCAAGAGTTTTTGGCACAGGTGTGCATTGATTTTATCAATGAATTGTGCATCTTTGCTAGTCTTTCTTCTTATAAAATAAATCTCTACACTTGCAGGTCTCCATGGTGTCAAGGCTTAAGCATGACAATGTCGTAGAGTTGCTTGGTTACTGTGTTGATGGGAACACCCGCATCCTTGCTTATGAATTTGCTACTATGGGTTCTCTTCACGATATGCTTCATGGTATTACTCTGTTTACTTCTAAAATCTAGTGTTCTTTGAAATATATTATTCTCTTTAGCTTCTTTCTGGATAGCTGATGAGTTTGAATTTGAATTGCACAGGACGCAAAGGTGTGAAAGGAGCTCAGCCTGGTCCAGTCTTGTCCTGGATACAACGAGTGAAGATTGCTGTTGGAGCAGCAAAAGGCCTCGAGTATCTTCATGAGAAAGCGCAGCCTCATATCATACACAGGGACATCAAGTCCAGCAATGTTCTTCTATTTGATGATGATGTATCTAAAATAGCTGATTTTGATTTGTCAAACCAAGCTCCTGATATGGCAGCTCGACTTCATTCGACCAGGGTTCTTGGAACATTTGGCTATCATGCACCTGAGTATGTGCAGTTTTCTTTTCAGTTTCACTGACACCTGTATCCATTTTTTTGCTTAAATGTTGAAAACTTTGGTGTAGGTATGCAATGACTGGACAACTTAGCTCTAAGAGTGACGTCTACAGTTTTGGAGTTGTTCTTCTGGAGCTCCTGACTGGAAGAAAGCCTGTGGATCATACATTACCAAGAGGACAGCAAAGCCTTGTGACATGGGTAAACATTTATATTAGCTATTATATGCTTTATAGTTCTACAGTTAGAGGTTATCTTGTATTTGTGCAATATATTGCCTTCTTTTTAAAAATACTCATATTTATGCTTTGTGCTGCTTGACGAATCAAAGTAATACCTATTTTAATGCCTGCAGGCAACTCCACGGCTTAGTGAAGATAAAGTTAGGCAATGCGTTGATTCAAGACTTGGAGGATATCCTCCTAAATCTGTTGCAAAGGTATGATAAGTTATTTAGGCTCTAGTTGTTGCAACCTTTAGATTTTCTCTAAGTGATGTGTTCCTTCCTCAGAGGCTAACAAAAGGAGATTACATGCTTCATATAAAATCATAAATAGTAACATTGTTATACTTACATTATGCAAACCTGATATCAAATTATCAGTAACTTATACCGTTTCAGTTTATGTTTTCATTTACTGTTGTCTCATGTCTGTCGTCAGTTGATGTTAAATGTTCAATACTCCCATCATTCCAAATTGTAAGTCGTTCTGCTTTTTTAGATACATAGTAAAAGCTATGTATCTAGACATAGTGTGTATTGAGATGCATAGCAAATATTATGTACCTAGAAATGCCGGAATGACTTACAATTTGGAATGGAGGGAGTATCTTAATGGTTTTGAAACCCTTATTTATCACATTTTCCTGTTCCTTTTGTTGTTCAAATAGTTTGCAGCTGTTGCTGCACTCTGTGTGCAATATGAAGCTGACTTTCGACCAAACATGAGCATCGTGGTGAAGGCGCTTCAGCCCCTGCTGAATGCACGTGCATCGAACAACCCTGGTGAACACACTGGATCACAATCGTCAATTCACCATTTATGACACAGAATACACAGTGTCAAGGTTCATTTGTGGAGGAATAGGTGGGAAGCTGGCTGTATATAGATTAGTGCTTGTGATTAGATTTTTGCCCTAGAAGTACCTTATTTGATTCTTCTGGTTGCAGGATGAATGAATGACTGCCGTTGCTTTTACCTGACGAGAGTATCAGAATCAGACAAATCATGTAGCATTGAATTGAATTAAGATAAATATGGTGTTTGGCTTAATACACTTGACCCTGGATGTTCATCAGGAGATAACCTACTAGTCTCTGTATCCTGAGTGCCATAGACTATAAACTGTAACCTATTGTTCGGTTGTATTCCATCTGGTGTCGGTTAGATCCATGAGGTCAAGCAGCATCCAATTTGAGGATCCCAGTAAAATTCCTCATTGTAGCCTCCGATTCAAAATGATTCGTTACAGTTTAAGGTTAATACATGGTCTGGCTTTCTGTTATCACCACACGAAGACGAGGGTATTAGAGCCTGCTTGGTTGAAGGCCAATATTTTGGAGTAAGCTAAAATGTGCACACAACAATATTAGGGCAAGCCAATATTTTGATATAGAGCAATCAAATCAAGGTCGGCACTTGGTTCGCTACCAAGTGAGAAAGATGGTGCCTTGCCCATATTTTGGAAGGCATTGCTAAAAATTCAGTACCAAACCAATAGCATTCCAAATCTTAACTTTTGTGATATTTTGGCTCGTTAAAAATTGGCTTGCAGCCATTAATGCCTATTTTAAATTGCCATCCTGTGATGAGTATCACCATAATTTTACAACACACATTTTTCCATCTCAAATGGCAAAGGCTATAGTGTGGCTTGGACATAGTACAGTCACACCGATATGGGCGTGATGCCAACAAATTTGGTTTGGGTCGTGAAGCAAAATTTGGTGATTAATTACATAGCTAATGGCATATCTTTCTTCTGAACAATGAGCTACCTACTGATTCAAACATGTACGTCTGGATTTTCTGTTAGCAAAAACGAGACCATGAGAGTTCATCGCTTTGCAAGTGTAAATAGGATCAACATTGACATGGATGCTATGAGCTTGAAGGCTGAGCTCTCCCAGAGATTGTGCTTGTCGCCTGAGCCACTACAACTGGGCTGCTCCACGGCCGTCTGATTTCTTACTTCTTTATTAAGAGTAAGTGCTCTGTCCCTTTTCTCTCTTAGCTGCACAAAGAAAAATGCAGTTGGAAGACCCTTCTATAATACAGTATGACAGTGCTAACCTTGCACTGCAATAGTGAACGTGCTAAATTTGACGGCTTGTAGAAATGGCACATGTATGTTTGAAGGTTTCAACGGTGAACATCGCTGCAGCCTGCAGGTCGTGCATAGCTTGTCCGTTTGACTCGAACCTTGGCAGTATACACTACTGGGTTTCAGTGAAAGGTGGAAATGTTTCAAGAACACTTGCGTCCTTTGTTGACTAGATGTTTTCGGAGAAAAAAAACCATTATTTTGATATGAAAAAACAAAAAAAATTACCCTCTGAAGTTTCGGTAACCGAGACCGTGGTTCTTGGATGCCGAGTTCAAGTCTCATTACCCTCCTCTTCATCTCCTGGGCTGTCCTCCGATGCTTGTGCAACTATTTGTCAACAGATTTTAGATGTTACAAAGATATTTCACACCAAGTGAGGCATTTTGAAGCACCATTCATGACTCAAGGTCTACCTGTGATTCCAGTTCCTTGCTTCTGTTTTCCCAGTGAGCAGATAGCACCCTTATACCCTGTCTCAGCTTGGCCACACCATCGTCCTCAAAAACCAAATCCTGGTTAATGTTCTCGCTGTTCTTTGATGGAACATCAGAATGGGTCCTCAGAATCTCGTTCACGTTATCAGATCCATCTTTGGCAAATGCATCCGTGATGTCAGACTCGGTTCTCGAAGAGTAACAATCTTTGAATTGTCTTAGTGAGGGATCCCTGCTCTCGAGGTACTTGTGAAGTTGATTGAGCTGTTCTGCTACATTGTTCACCGGAAATTCACCCTCAGTCATCAAGTTGTTCTTAGCATTCAGCTTTCCAAACAAACACGAGCAGTGCAGCAGCGTTGTCTTGGCTGGCACAGCGGTGGACTGCAGTAGCTTGGATCACTGAAAGTTGTGATCTGAGACCATCCAACTCATTGCGAAACTGTAGATGAGAAGAATTATTCATCATGGGAGCTGTCCGCTGATCTGAATAGCAACTGGGAAGAAATGACTAGGAACATAAATAGATTCATACTGGGTATTGACATGAAGAGATCAATACATCACCACTATTAACTATTAAGCCATATATATAAATGTAAACGTTGCAGGATCACTGAATAGCAGATGGCCATTTAATCTGAAGCTAATCTACTAAGCGCTAAAAACTAAAAACTACATGACAAAATGATTACTTAAAGTGTAACTGCTGGAGAAGCAAATGAAACAACAAGCATATGTTCATAAAGATGTGTGGAAGCATAACACAGTAACACAATTTTGATATCGTAGACACTACACAGGTATTTTCAGTACCATTTCAACATATAAAAATGAAACAGCAAAGTTAGTTCATCAGTAGCAACGAGCAAAAGGTAAGAGCAAGACATAGCTACAGAACCGAAACACGATCTTAAGGGAAAGTCTTGCAGAATACTCCCCTGTCCCCTCCAATCCCAAATATAATTTAAAAGGTACAGCGAAATTATAATATAATGAAACTACTATTTCAGACAAATCTACTCGTGCTGTCTTTAATTGTTCAATCACAATACGTGAAATGATGTTGATGGCCAAATTTTAGATATGGGTGTTTAGTTTGAGGAATGAGTTAGTCCACCATCTACTCATTTCTCACTTTTTTGTTTGGTTTGTGGAATGGAATAGGTTGATCCATCATCTCATTCCTCGTAAGCTAATAAGTAGTACTAGTACGAGGAATGAAGTCATTCCACTAAATTTAAGAAATGAACCCATGATGCACCACCTCATCTAAAATGGAGTAATTCCTCAAACCAAACATGCTATTAAGTCTTTAACTGAATCTGCATCAAACCCAAAACATTATTTATTTCTGACTGGGAACCTGGGAGGAGTAATTGCAGAAGGAAGTGGAGAGAGCAAGGGAGAACACCTGCTCAGTGCTGCATAACGATGCACGCAGCTGCTCATCTTTGTCCTCTAAGCATTTCTGCAGTTTGCTCACCTCATCCTCCAAATTTTTCGCCTTTAGCTCAGCAACCTTTCAACAATTTCCAATCCATTGTGACACAGAGCACCAAAATCTGACCAATTACACAGAATGAAACATACCTTTCTGGCTTCTAATTCCTGAGCCAGCAACAGTTCCTGTGAAGCAAGCCTGTTCCTGGCATCCTTGAGCTCGGTAGCCATTGCAGTCACATTCCTCTTCAGGCTCAGTTTCTTCTCAACAAGATCCCTCAGCAGTGGATCCAACTCAAGTGAATATGACAACGATGAAGGAATTGCTGTACTCTCTGAAACTGGCATCACTCAAAGAAATGGCTGCACTTTTGCAAACCCAACAGGAAGAAAAACAAACATAAAGACTGTTCTCGGAAGTAACAAGTCTCACAGCATCATGGTGGCAAGACTAATATAAAGATAGCAGAGAATTGAGCTCTGCTTTGATCAAATGGATGCATCTCCACTCGCTGCATGTTGGGCCTACAAGGAACTCCTCTTAGTTTCCCTCTTCCAGCCAGTGGCCACTGCAGTCTAGTTTTGGACTTCTTTTAGTAACCTAGTTTGATAATACGCTAACAAAAGGGAAGATTTTATTGTGTTTGCTGCATGCATCGTGCTGGAGTTATGCTAAAGCTTCTGAACTGAGATCTTTCGCTTTCTTTGGATCAAGGCCACGAACTTGTGTGGAGCCAAACAATTGCTACTAAATGACAGATATGTTGCTTTCATTAGCCATTTCAGACAATCCTGTGGCGGTGGTGAGGGAGCGAAAACAAACCAGTATAATGATCATTTGATCCAGTAACATATACTGGATAAATAACTGAGGCATTCAGTTATCAGTATGTTAGCTTGCCTTTGGCTTTCTGTTGCCTTTTTATGGCCATAAGATGAATTTGAGGGCATAGAGTTGGCAAGGAAATAAAATCACCTGCGCCGAGTTTATCCAAAGTGTAAGGCCCAAACCAAGGCTGCGCAAGGCAAGGACGCCCATTGCCACGTCGCAGTGCACGACTTGCCAAAAATAGCAAGTCCCGTGATGCTAACCCCACGGTGCAGGAACAGAACGTGATGATGAGGCGATGGGGGTTGTTGAAACAGCAGCAGCAGCTTGATCGTGAGGCTCTCGATGCCTTCCAGAGCGTTTTCGCCGAGCCAATGTCTCAATCCAAGCGTGACGCGCTGTCGGCTCTACTTTCCACTGATCTAGTGAATGTTAACTCGTAACAACTTAGAAAAGTGACGTGCATTTGCAACCCACAAGTTTTCAAGTTCTAGGATGAGACATTTTTAGCCAGCAAATTTAAATTTTGGGGAATACTAAGTTATAACCTAGGTACTGATGAATTATAGACATAGTAACTATTCATCATTTTAACTTAGGAGAAGCTAAACATTCCTTAAACACATATGAGAGTGGAATAAATATTTTTGGTGTTTTTATCATATTTTATTTTTTTGTATTTTTAATTTTTTTCAGAATTTTTTTAGATGCTAATAAATAAATGTAGAAAATAAATGTAGAAAATAAAAATACGAAAAAGATACAAGGTACCTTTGCGGGGGTTCTCCCCCAAGCTAGCTCTAGGCCTATGGTCCGGGATTGTATCCCATGGACTGCCAGTAGGCCGCCTGTGCTTCTTGTTGTTGCCTCAGCAGCACGTTGATGCCCGCGAACTGTTGCTGCTGCTGTAGGTGCCACTGTCTCGTATCCTGCATATGAGTGTTAAGTGTATTTTGAATTTCACCTATGCGGATTTCCAATCATCCGAGGCGAGTGTTGATGCCGTCCAACTCCCGACGGTCTGAAGTAGACTGTCGTGGATGAACGGGTGGTGGTAGCCCCTCGGAGTCAGACGAGTGATGCGCCCATGCTGCGTCATCAGCTTTGTGCCATCCCGATCCACCGGCCTCGTGTGGTTGCGGGGTGTGTCCCCAGCCCAGCTGATACCCGGGGGTGAACCCAGGTGTCTGCATGGCCGGGAACCACTCCGTATAGAACGCCTAAGGCACAAGTGATGTCGGTGTCGGTGTCGGTGGTGGTTGTTGAGAGCTGCCAGCTTCGTCTCTAGCCCTGCTCCTTATTTTCCTGCGAGAAACAGAACTCCTGCGCGCTTCCTCTTGTTCGACAAGAGTGAAAGTGAGTGATGGGGATTTATACAAAGAGAGTTCCGGGTTAGTAAGCGAAATCTCATTTGTATATCCTGGAAAGAAAACTACAAGGTTTCCTGCATCATCATACTTCAAATTGTGCCCTTGCATCAAGTAGTGCTCATCAATATCAATGCGTGGAGTAGAGATGTATGTCACATCTTGTCCATCCAATGCACCAATATCAGCGGCAATACGAGTCACAAGGGATGTGCAAGAGATAGATGTAGAAGCCTTGAATGTTTCTAACCAATGTTTAAACATTTCTTTCACAGAAGCAATTTTAGTCTTTTTAAGCATGGCATAGAGAATTTGCAATTTGGCATGATAAACAAATCTTATGTCTTGCCTAGCAAACAAAGTCATGGCAATCCACTGATGTATGAACCTCAAAGTAGGATGATGAATATTCATATTTCGAGGTTGAAACTTGCCAACTACGTTTTGACTAGAAATCATTCTCTAAAATTCATGGCGATTAAAACCTTTAAGAGCATGATCATCTAAGTCAATTGAACATTTTGTGCTAAAGCCTAAGTGAGAGCGGAGATTTCTCTATGTAAGATAGTATTCTTTCTAAAAAATACAGAAAGTAATCCCACCCTCAACTTCTTGCAAAGAGCATAAGAATTGAATTGTTAAGAGGCGAGAACCAAGCTCGTTGACGGGAGCAACATTCTCCCATCCAAATGCTTTCCAGATGGTGGCGAATTTGGTGTCCATACCTATCTTTTGGAGGAGGTCGGGGTCGTACGCCGGCGTGTGGACGAACTCACGGTTCTTGATGAGGTTGTACGCTTGCGTCTCCCAGGCTCCCTCCAAATCAAGGTGTGGATCATCGTCGCCTTCCTCCATCGGTTGTTCTTGCTCTTGCTCTTCTTCTTTCGTTGGCACTGTTTCTTAGTCTTCATACATCAGGCTCTCTTCGAGCTCGGTGTAGCATGCGCTTGAGCTTCCGCGGGAGCGACTTGAGCTTGCTCCCATGGCCTTCTTGAAAGCGCCGGTGAGATTTCTCCCAAACTTGTCCATGGCGAAAAAGACAACAACAAAACTCGCAAACGGGGTTACGTTAGTGGAAACAAATCGAACAACCCGCGAGCTTAGCTTGGTGGTGATGAGTGTAGGATTTTTCTGCAGAATTTCCTTGCACTTGAGCTTTGTGGAAAATTATTTTTGCAAGTGATGGAGCAAGAGAGTGTGAGAGGGAGTGTAAATGGAGAGCAGAGAGTGAGTGAAGGCTCACACCTGAGCTCTCGGGATTTATAGAGCTGAGCACCGGTTGAAGGAGGCAGAGGGCAACGACTAGGAGCCGTTGGCGAAGGTGCGGGGCCAATGGTCACCTGCAGGGTGCGACCGCACCTACAGTGGGCCCACTGCTGCCCCCATTGGCCAGTAGCTCCCAACTGCCATTTTTGAAATGTAGCCGTTGGTGCTTCCCTTGGTTTTGAAAAGTTGCTCCCGACATTGATTTTCCACAAAACTTTATTATATTTTGAATTTTCATAAATATTTTTTAAAATGAGAAATGATAATGGAAAAATCTATACTATCAGAAAATGATTTTTATTTTATTTTTTAAAAAAGTTTATTTTAAAGCAAGTTTTAAATTTTCAATTTTAAAAATTTTGAAATTTTGAATTTTTGAATTTTTAAAAGATAACTACTGATTTACCTTTGGCAAGGGCTCGACATTTATAGTCTATCGGCAAGACTCCTCCTCCTTCATTGCTCTGTGGCTGCATGAACAAATTCGGGGGAATTCTCGGGTTGCCCCAGGATTTTCCCCGAATGGTTGACAGGAATGGCAGAAGCTATTTGAGCAATTTGCGTTTCTATCATTTTATTAAAACTTAATTGGTTTTTCACTGAGGAGGATAATTTTTCAAGTTTTGAATTAATATTTTCAATCATTATACATTAACTTTTTAGTGAGATTTTCATTAATTTTTGCCTGGCCTAATACTAGGTCTTTCAAGGAAGGTTGATTCGAATTATAATTGGAATTAAAGTTCAAATTACCTCCTTGCGGGCTGGACTGATTGTTTCACCCGTTATTGTTACCTTGTCGGAACCCATTGTTGATGTAGGCGACATCTTTACGGGTTTCGGGGTAGTTGTTCCCCAAATGTCCGACCTCACCACATAGTTGTTCCCCAAATGTCCGACCTCACCACATGCCTTTTTGTTGTTTGCGCTCCTCTCCCTAGCTCTGGTTTGCCACCATCTTCTTGATGAGAGTTGTGGCATTATTGATGATGAGGGAGAGAAATGCACCTCTAGCGGCAGCATCTACGTTCCCCTTCGACATGGACGTGAACCCTTCATAGAAGTTCTAGAGCACGAGCCATTCCTCCATTCCGTGGTGCGGGCAGGCTTGGATATAATCCTAGAGCCTTTCCCACGCCTTGGGAATGGATTCGAGTGAAGTCTGTTGGAAGTTTGAAATTTTCCCCCTCAGGGCATTGGTTTTGCCCTTGGGGAAAAACTTCATGAGGAACGCCGTGGAACATTTGTCCCATATGTTGACAGCTTCCTTTTTCTTATAAAACCACTGTTTCGCCTTCCTCGCAAGGCAGAAGGGAAACAGACAGAGCCTGATGCTAGCTTGTGCGACGTCTTTGATGACAATGGTGTCGCACAGCGCAAGGAAGTGTTGCAAGTGTGCACTTGTGTCCTCGCTTGACAAACCACAAAATTGATTTGTCTACACCATCGTAATGAGGCCAATCCGAAGCTCAAAGTTTCCAGTACCCGTGTTGACAACGGGCACATTGGCAACAGCGGGGGTGGAGTAGTCGCGGAGTGACTTGGCCATAGCGGTAGTACCGGATGGTACAGGGGTGACTGGTTCAACTGCCGATGGAGTAGTAGAAGAAGAAGCTGTACGAGACTGGTTCTTCCTTAGGAGTGCCTCCGGATTATCGGTGTAGTTGTTCGGCAGATCAAAATCATTCATACACCATCCTATTTTCATCCACAACAGGAAGAAAACAAGCAGAATTAGCCTACATAAACTATGGCTACCATTACATGCATGTGATCATTGTTCATGTCATACTAGATTCTTTAACCTATGTCCTCCCCGGCAACGGCGTCAGAAATGCTTATTGGCATTTCTTAGCGCAATCACCAAGTGTGGAGGTTTTAAGTCC